ACATCTTTTTCATTGTCATTACTAACCTACTTTTATTAATAATCATTCAGCATAAAATTTATATTTAGATGTACTAATATCTACATTAAATGGATTATTTATTACTAAAGTAGTTATTTATCACTAGATGACATCCAGAGACATAATTTCCTCTTTACCCCATATCAGACAAAATCTGGATCTGAAAAGAGCATGAATTCTGTATTTATCTTCAATGTTAGTATATTGATGTGCATAATTAACCACATGGTTTTTGTTGTCAGGTAATTGTTTACATATATAAAATGTAAATGTTGAATAAGATATAAGCATTTGAGAGTATTGCTGCTGTCACCGTCTGTATTAAAGGGAAACAATGGTAGGGGTGGCCACAGGGGTGGCCAATGATTGCCCCCCCCTCCCCGGCTAGCTCCACCCCTGCTCCTAAATAAGTCATAACAGATGTGCCTGCATATTTAGCCTTGTTGCAATAATGTCCTGTGTAATGTAAAAAAAAAACTTTTTATAGGCACAAAGTGGTTCATTGAGTTTCAAAACAGAATATTAATATTCAAAAAAGGAAAAGAGTATCAGAATTTTCCAGAGTACTTGCAGAGAAATCTAAATATAATGGAATTATCTAGTTATTTTTAACAGATAATAACAAATATTAAATTTTATTAAGTCATAATAAACAGATAGCTTATGGTTGAATCTTTTACAACATCCAAACTTATTCAAAATCTGGTATCCAAAGTGGTCTAAATATAATTTTGAAGTTCAGGGCCTGTTCAGAAAACAAAGAAAGTGAGAACTCATAATATATTCTGTGGTGAATCCCTGACCATCCTGGATTTTTGGTTTTAGAAAGATGGGCTCAATCCGAATATTTGTTTAATTGTAGCTCCTACCATCTAATCTTAGCACTATCCAGCTGGTGCTGATTCCAGACAGCCTTCAGCCTTAAGGACACCATTACGCAACGGACACACAAATGATTCACACTGTTCAGATTGGGACTGCAGGCTTCTGGAAAAGCACTAAGAAAAAACAAAAATTGCACAAATATAGCGAATGGCTGAAACTTTCTATTATAAAACCCAAACATGTGAAGATATGGACGCTAGCATGTGTCACACAATATAGAAGCATTTTTTTTGTTTACTCTGTAAACTAGCTCTGCCTTTAAGGCAGGGGTCACCAACTTTTTAAGGCTGAGGGCTACTTTATGGGTACTGAGTCACAGAACGGGCTACCAATACTGACCTATGACCTAGAGGAGGCGGCGTTCACTTGATCTTCATAGATAATAAACATATTTCTATTGTTTCTTTTCATTTTTAATTTGCTTTTAGATATTCTCATTATGAAATCCATATAAATCCTCAAATGTTCTAATTTATTGATATGATAAAACGCTTCATAAATGCTTCAAAAGAAGAAAGAAAGAGCTTCAGTAAAATATAACATTTCAGATTTAGTCCAGTGGTGAATTGTTCTGTTTTCAAAAGATGCTGAGGGCACCCCATGTTGTCCTTGAGGGCCCCTTGGTGCCCACGGGCACCACGTTGGTGACCCCTGCTATAAGGTCTGTTTCAGAAAGCTTTGTAGGCAAGTATTCTGCTCATATATCAACCTGAGTAAGGGACTAGATAGGCCACTGAAGTATTAAAAGCAGTATGTCATCAAATCTGCATTAAAAGTGCAAAATAATAACAGGATCATATATATATATATATAGATATATAGACAGCAATACAGTATAAAACATTCATTTGTACAGCTTACTATTTCAAAAACCACATTCAGTTGTGAGTAGTCCTTATAAGTACATGGTGTTGTATGGTACGGTACGGTATGGTATGGGATGTATGGTATGGTATGGTATGGTATGGTATGGTATGGTATGGTATGGGATGGTATGGTATGATATGGTATGGTATGGTATGGGATGTATGGTATGGTACGGTATAGTACTGTATGGTACGGTATGGGATGGTACGTATGGTATGGTATGGTATGGTATGGTATGGTATGGTATGGTATGGTATGGTATGGTATGGTATGGTATGGTATGGTACGGTATGGTAGCATGGTACAGTGCGGTATGGTAGCATGGTACAGTGCGGTATGGTGCAGTACGGTCCTGTGCAGTACGGTGTGGGGCAGTATGGTATGATATGGTATGGTTTGGTATGG